TATGTCCAAGCTCACACAGGATTATATAAAACAGACTATAGACTTACATACTATGAGTTTCAACCCAAATGAGAACACCCTGGACTAAATAGAAGGAAGAAAACTGAGGGAGAATCAGCGATTGGGGAGTTCTGATAAGGGAACTCCTACCCAGAAGCACCACAGACAGGATAAGTGGAACACTGCAACTCAGAATGATCAGGGGAAGGCCCAGGCTCTAGCTCTGCAGACAGAGGCTATCTGCTCATTCCTGCTCATTTGGCTCAGTGACTAGAACTGAACCATGGAAAAAGACTGTGCAAGTGGGCACATAGAGCCCAGGTGGAGGGGAAGAAAATCTGGTGATCTGGTGATTGGAGCAGCTGCAAGGCATCCAACTCTTTCATCCAACCCACAGCATAGGTCTAGAGGCTAGTTACTGGCATTAGTCACTAAGGTGGGGACAGCAAGTTCACAAAGCCCTGAGATAAAAGGGGGGGGGAACAGTCTGAATCAAAACAGGTCCATTAAAAATCCCCCCAAGTGGTAGGGAAAGACTGCTCAGGAAGAGACGGATCTGAGTGGGCACAAAGAGCCCTGGAGGCCTAAAGGGAGGACTGACAGCCTGCAAATCTGGGGGTGTGTGCAGAATTAGGACTCAAGGTATTAATGAACAGCAGGGGCCATAAGACGTGTGAGCCAGTAAGGCACTGCCTTGCAAGGCTCACAGTGCTCAAAAAAATAAACAAAACCAGTGACTGGCTCAACCACAGGCCCAGCTACAACACTTCTAATGCACCCCACCCTCTGGGGCTACATCCAAGCATAGAGGCAACCCCAGACATCAGAGGTTATAAAGATCAACAAGAACCTTCCAGAGACAAGGACTCAATGAGTTACAGAAGAATCTGAACACCACAAGAGACCCCTGAGTGTCAGAGATGTCAGACATAATTCCACACAATAGGGGCTGGAAAAACAGGAGATATTGAAACAAACAAAGCTCAGAATACCTCCACAGCTGAAGTGTCTGGAAGTCCCCCTGCCATCCAGAAAGACATCCAGAAAGAATGTGGGGGTCAATAATAGCAACACTGTGTCTCAACGAATAGAAAGTATTAGAAAATACTTGACAGGGAAAAGAAGACAAACAAATAAATATTCAAGCAAGTCCACAGGGGGAAAATTCACCACAAAAAGATCAGTCACAGAAGCCACCAAAGAAATAGAAGAACAGCACAGCCTACCAGATAGGCAATTCAGAATCACCATGATAAACAAACAAAAAGAA